AGTTCATGGCTATTGTTTATATCAAGGATGCTAGTGATATTTAATCCATGTTGGCGAGATTTGGACGTTTATATCTAACACACAGGTAGATAGACATATGGGTAAATAAGCTCATTGTCAGTTGGGTAAACAGATGGACAAGCAGTTCAAACACACACACTCGCACACAGACACACACACACATAAACACACACACACACACACACACACACACACACACACACACACACACACACACACACACACACACACACACACACACACACAGAAACACACACATAAAAACACATAAACACACACATAAACACACATAAACACACACATAAACGCACATATAAACGCTCACATACCCCCCCACACACACATAAACACACACACAAACGCACACATAACCCCCCCAACCTCACACACATAAACGCACACATAAACGCTCACATACCCCCCCCCCCCACACACACACACAAACACACACACAAACGCATACATAACACCCCCCCCCCCCCTCCCCACACACACACAAACGTACCATTAAGGAAACAAATCATCGACCAACCATTTAAAAGCAACACACAGATCTCCCCTATTATAGTATTACATCTTATAATCCTACTTTGTCTTCCGCTGCACCTCCATTGCTCACGTGAATAGCCGATGATAAATAAGCCTATAATACATAACGGGATATGCATTACACACACGGGAAAGGAAGGGGATACTGAGGTAGTGCGAAAGGGGCGATTAAGGGGGTGTGTCTAGCTGTTTGCGTGGATGTATTTGTGTGTTGGTGTGTTTGTGTGTGTGTTTGTGTGTGTTTTTGTGTTTGTGTTTGTGTGTGTTTGTGTGTGTGTGTGTGTGTGTGTGTGTGTGTGTGTGTGTGTGTGTGTGTGAGAGAGAGAGAGAGAGAGAGAGAGAGAGAGAGAGTGTGAGATGAGAGTGAGAGTGAGTGAGAGTAAGAGTGAGAGTGAGTGAGTGAGCGTGTGCGTACGTGAGTATGGTTGGGACAAAAAGGAGATATCACCATTGATCTTTGACGTGAATATAGCATTTCCGAAGCTAATAGTGCCACTAACCATATACCAAAAAAAAAAAAAGTTTTCTAGCATACGGTAGCAATATCCCAGAATATATACCAAAACAACACTAGTAATACAATTATTGATAAGGCAACCTGAACCACCGAAATGAAAAGCAAAGACATTTTAACAAATACAACTCAGAGGCATTAATAGATACCAAGTTTGGTTACGGTTGCAGGTCACCTTAATGCCCCTGGTTGGTCACAGTTACCCCTTGTATTAGAGACTCCGTAGCTTTATTGCAGTGTAGCATGGAAAGACACGCACTGTAGGGGCTGAAGTGACACTTTATCACGCTCAGGCACTGTTAACGAGACCTATAATTCAAGCATAATCGTTTGCAAGCACGGGGGGAAAAAAATTCTCCCCTCACCCCTTTCGTATGTCCATTAGCCCCCTTACCATTAGAAAAAAAAGGACCACTTAACTATTAGTGGAGCAAACTTTGGGCGCAGTAATTCCGTGAAGTATTCAGCAAGCGGCCAATTACGTCCAGAAGCTCACCCACTCCCAAGTTTTCTTCAAAATAAACAATCCCCTCCATATCCCCCTCCCTTTCCCCTTACCCCCTCCCCCCTCTCCCCCCTCGCCTCCCCTCTACACACACACACTCCACCTGTGGCTTTTCCCCTCACTCCTCTTCCTCCTTCGCTGCAAAATACATATTCCATCTCTCTGAAGTATCGAGGGGGGGAAATATAGGAGGGCAGAGGGAGATATAGGGAAGAAAAAAAAGGAAAAGAAAGAGAGAAATAAAGAGAGATTGAAAGGTAGTTGGGTAGACAGTCAGCTAAATAGACAGACAGACAGACAGACAAAAAGACAGACAGACAGATTGATAAACAGATAGATAGATAGAGAGTCAGATAAATACATATAGAGATAAATAGATAGATAGACATATAGAAAAAAAAATAAGGTAAGTAGAGAGATAAATAAACTCTCACTCTCTCTCTCTCTCTCTCTCTCTCTCTCTCTCTCTCTCTCTCTCTCTCTCTCTCTCTCTCTCTCTCTCTCTCTCTCTCTCTCTGTCTGTCTTTCTTTCTTTTAGAAAAAAAAAGAATAAAAGGGAGAGCGACAAAGGCATAAAAGTCACAAGAAACCAAAACACATCAAAGAATACAATGACAGTTATCTAGAAGATACGACTTCACCCTCTGTCGTTCCAGCTGAGGTAACCTGACAGCAATCTTCCTTTCACTCCTGTCTCTTCCCTCTTCTCTCTTTCTTCTCTCTTTCCTTTTTCTTCTCTCCGTCCTTTTCTCCCTTTTATCATGCGCCTCTTGCCAAAACGCGCCCTAGATAATTCTGAGATTCACATATCAGGCATTCATAGCACGCTGTATACGTGGCACTGCCTGAACCCACATGCATGAGGAGGCGCTCGGTGTAATGGGAGTGTATCAGTCACCTCGCTTTGGATATGTGCTTCTCGGGGTTTGGGTGCGAATGAGGGAAGGGAGGGGAGGGAAGGAGGTGAGGGGAGGGAGGGTGCAAGGGAGTGGAGAAGGTTGGGAGGGGAGGTGGGAAGGGAGGGGCTGGGAGGGAAAGGAGGAAGGAGGGAAGGTGGGAAGGGAGGGGAGGGGAGGGGAGGGTGCAAGGGTGTGGGGAGGGTTGGGAGGGGAGGTGGGAAGGGAGGGGATGGGAGGGGAAGGAGGGAAAGGAGGGAAGGTGGGAAGGGAGGGGAGGGGAGGGTGCAAGGGAGTGGGGAAGGGAGGGAGTGGGGAAGGAGGGGAGGGAGGGAAGGGAGGTGGGAGAAGGGGAGGGAGGAGGGAAGGGAGGAAGGGAGGAGGAAGGAGGGGGGGAAGGGTGCAAAGGAGCGGGGAAGGGAAGGGGAGGGAAGAGTGGGAGTGGGGAGGGAGGAGGGATAGAAAGAGAGGAAAGTATGAGAGAGGGGATGAAGGGAGGAGAGTGCGAATGAGGATGTGAAGAGAGGAAAGGAGATGAGACTGAGGGACGGAAGAGAGCGAGTGAAGGAGGAAAGGAGAGAGGAGAATGTGGTAGAGTAAAAGGAGAGTATAAGAGAAAGAAACAAGGAGTGAGGGAGGAAAGGGATAAGCATATGAATGAAAGAAAGTTAAGAAGGAGGAGATTTGAAGGAAGGAGAGAATGAGAGGGAGTATATCAATCACCTTCCTTTGAATATCGAATACTGCACCCCCCCCTCCCCCATCTTACCAGGCCTAGTCCCACGTGCATATTCTCTCTCTCTCTCTCTCTCTCTCTCTCTCTCTCTCTCTCTCTCTCTCTCTCTCTCTCTCTCTCTCTCTCTCTCTCTCTCTCTCTCTCTCTCTCTCTCTCTCTCTCTCTCTCTCTTTCTTTCTCTCTTTCTTTCTCTCTTCCTCTCCTTCTCTTGTCATCTACATATCTACCACCTTAATATTCTCCTCTTTCTTCTTTCTCTCGTTTTCCTCGCCTCCCCCCCCCCCATCTTCTACTCTCTCTATTTCTCCTTCGAAAAGGATAGCCTCATTAGTGGAATCTTACGCTCAAAATATTTCCCTTCGTAATTGGAGTGCACTTTGATTTAAGACGCCAAAGATATTCCTTCAGTCTCTCTTGCTGTGTTTTACAAATTGATACAAATTTTTGGGTTTGTGTGAGTTGTGTGTGTGTGTGTGTGTGTGAGTCGTGTGTGTGTGTGTGAGTCGTGTGTGTGTGTGTGAGTCGTGTGTGTGTGTGTTGTGTGTGTGTGTGTTGTGTGTGTGTGTGTGTGTGTTGTGTGTGTGTGTGTGTGTGTGTGTGTGTGTGTGTGTGTGTGTGTGTGTGTGTGTGTCTGAGAGTCGTGTGTGTGTGTGTGTGTGTGTGTGTGTGTGTGTGTGTGTGTGTGTGTGTGTGTGTGTGTGTGTGTGTGTGTGTGTGTGTGTGTGTGTGTGTCTGTGCCTGTGAAAGAGAGAGAGAGGAAGAGATACAGATAGTTAATTAGGTAGATAGACATACAGACAGATAGGTAAATAAATGTATAGATAAATAGATGTATCGGTAGATAGATATATAGGTAGATAGATAGATAAATTAATAGATAACTAGATAGATTAATAAATAGATAGAAAGATAGATAGCTATACAGGCAGACAGACAGACAAACAGACAAACAGACAGAGACAGACGACAGATATACAGATAGACATACATACAAACATACATATATACATACAAACATACATACATACATACAGACAGACAGACAGACAAACTGAGTTTATGTCTGTGTAGTTACACATCCACAGCACATTAAAAAAAATTACATTCGAAACATAACCATGCACATAAACCTCACAAGTGAAAAACGAACTGCCTTGGCAAGTTGAGAAATATCCTTACGTCTCCCAAAGGATTTCCGTCGCTATAAAGACAGACTGACCCGGATATTGCGACCAGTGAGAGGTCAGCTGCTATAGACGTCTGTTAACGGCCCGCGTAGCTCTCGTTGGATGTCCACTGGCGGAGTTGTTGTTTTTTTTCTTTTTTTTTCGGAGATATTTGTTTACGGTATTTGATTTTTATTTGTGTGTTTTTTGTTTTTTGTTTTTTCTTCTTTTTCACGGTATTTGTTTACGACACATGATTATTATTAATGATTTTTTCCTCTTTTTTTTACGGTGTTGGTTTACGGCATTTGATTTTCATTTATTTATTTATTTATTTTTTTTACGGCATTTGTTTTCGGCATTTGTCTCTCCTTTATGCCTGTTTATATTTGCTTGATTTTACGCATACGGTATTTTTCTTTCATTCATACTTGTGTCAATTCCACGGCATTAGTTATTACTATCATTATTACCCTATTGTTTATACATCTATTTCTTGTTCAAGGGATCCTCAACATCCCTGTTCACCTCCTTGGATCTGTCTTGAACCAATGAAACAAGTAAAGCCTTATGAAATACCTAGAAACAAACGGAAGTAAACACATCCTCGCAGCCTCACTCATAGGAACACACCCTCGTCTCATAAGGATACAGTCGCATCCCTTAGAACAGACAGGCATGAAGGAAGCTCTTGTATCCCTCTTGTCAATAGATCCAGATGACACACTCAGGCCTCTGTCCTCACTCTTCTGTACTCACGCTTCTGGATTTCTTACTCAGA